TATAGAAAATTTGTTTAGTATAGGAAAATTGGACCACCCTATATAGAAGAATTTGTTTGATTGAATTTATCTACATGTTACAATGGGCTCTTTCACTATATTTTGGATTTAGCATAATTGAATAAAACAATTAATTCTAGAATTTTCTGTTATCCCACTTTCGAAAAATTTGAAGTCGTTCTTAAGAAAATAAATAAAAACCAAAAAGCCTAAAATAAAAATCCGCACTTTATTTTTAATACGTCACACCTGGCATATTGAAAAGCGGCAACAGGGCCGCGGCCGGGCCACCATGCTGGCCCATCACCACCTCCACACAAGGCCATTCAACCTTTTCCGATATGGCGGAGATAGAAGTGCTTTATTTGGCGCGTATTTTAAAACCTGCTTTGTTTCCAAATAGACATTTTTCACACAAATGTCGGGTTAGATTACGTAATATTTCACTAATTTTTTAATTTACAGGGAGTCTAAAGTTCTCCGCATAAGTATGGAATTTTTTGTATTATTACTTTTATAAAAACATCAGTTAGTTACTTTTTATAAAAAGGTCTGCTTTCTCAGAAAATAAGTAGTGTTAAAATATTCAAACTTGAAGTAGCATATATAGGGTGTTAAAAATCATCGCAAAAAGAAATAACTCGAAATATATAACAGAAAATAGCAATATAAACTAAATATTCAATTGCAAACACTTACCTACCATAGTTTAGAATTTACTGAACGTTTGATAAATATATACTATTATGGACAGTATAGGAAGTTACTTGTCTTAGTAAAAGCCTTGGTAAATGCTCTTCGAATTATAAACTACACTGGCTTGGGTCAAAAAATATGGAATATTTTTTCTATGTTTTGCAGCATTACACAAATGGGAATAAATTTAAACTATAATAGGTGAGGATAAATTAAAAATATAATATGTGTTTCAAGATTTTATATAGAAAAAAAAACTAAATGCCTTTTTGGGGGTTCGTAAGTAAAACTTACGCTTAGCTTAGTTTTCTTTACTCTTTCTCTTTACATAGGGTATTGTCTTTGTGGTAAAGACGTCATTCCTTTTTTGCATAGTTCTTCAATAAAATATATTTGATATTCTGAACAAGATGGATTTAATAATAAATTCTGACGTATGTTAGGGGCAATTGAGACCTAAAAAAAGACTTACATCCAGGCCATTTATATTTTCAAATGTCAATGTTGTCAATATCTTTCTGTGATCTTTTTGATGTAAAAAGCTTGATTCTTCTTCCAATATTTTACTTATAGTGAGGTAAATGTAAGTAGTAGCCATATCTACATCCTCACTAGGGTAACAGAGGCTTTGGCCTTTGACCTTTTGAGGCATATTTAATGCACTTCTTACCCGAGAACTACTAGTAGGAGTGAAATTATCTCTTTTAATAGCTGTCAACCATTTTTTACAAAGCTCGTCATTTTTGGGGAATATAAAAGCAGAAACCTTAGGACCCCCTCTATAATTCCCGTTACAATTTGGAACAGAGCATGTAAAAGGCATGCTACAATAAATTATTATCTTTTGATTATTGTAAGTAACCATTATAAAGTACTTTACAGACTGGCGGCGAAGGCTTCTTACTCATTTAGGTGTAGTATCTTGAGAAATACTTCGCTAGTTCTTACCTTAAAATAACTAATAATAGAGGAGTACGACAAGCACAAAAGTTTGAAGTTCTCTATGTGGAATGTCTGGTTTGGATTTCTATTACACTGTTATTTTATCACAATTTTCTGATCACACCATGCACTGAACACTAAGAACTAAACAAACGTGTTGCAGAAGCACAACAAACTAGAGATAATTAATTATTTCTTGTATGCAATCGGAACGAAAAACCACGACCGGCTTTTCAGGTTAAAGGTAAACAATTTAATAATGCGCTGCCTTCGCCGCCATATTTGCCTTGCCCATATCATGTTGATTGGTCTTGAGTTGAGGTGGCGCTGGTCAAATCAAATCGCAATGTTGCCAATTGTTGGCTGGCGCATGAGCACGGTTCTGCAATGTGATTGGGTGTATTTTTCATACGTCATCAATTGGCGCTTTAAAATTATTTCAAATTAAAGCAATTTTGAGGGCCTATAAAAAAATATTCAATGTCGTGGAACTATTTTTTTGGATAAATATACTGAAAATAGTCTTGAATTTCAGATTTTGTCCTTGAATTGGGTATTTTATTTTTTGTGAAAGAGCCCATTCTAATGCAGTTTTTTAACATGATTTACTCAAAATCAGCATGTTTTTTCCAAATAATTATTCGATCTAACTAGCGAATTCTTACTTTTTTTAATATAAAATAAATACAGATTTAAAAAATATATAAACACTGCATTATAATATTATAAATTTTACATCTGGCTTTTATAGAGATTTTACAATATAATATAGATAAAGGCGAATAAACAGAATATATTATAGCTATACAATTATAAACACTAAGTGACAACATATCTTTGTTCATCTTTCTAGTTTTTCTTTTTCATTAAAATTGATTTAAAATGGTTTTAGGTATATAAAATGTGCTTTATATTATAAAGGTGTATGCATAGTGTGCGTTAATATGATAAGAAAACATAGAAAATATTTTTTTACCAATGAAATGCATTTATTTACTTTTGTTAAATTTAATGTAAAAACCTGTTATAAAATTTGAAAATATTTCAGTAGATTTGTACATCACAATAGAAAATTGTTAGGGATAGGATCATTCTTGTCGTCCTATTCATACCGTTTTTGTAATATTTATTAGAAAACTTTAGCTACCAATACTTTGGTATTGAAATACTTTAGTTATGTGTCATCGAAACAAGTATATTTTTATAATAATCTCAAAATTGTAAATTAAAAAACAATATTTGTAATAATAGACTTCGTAACAGAGGTTTATAATTAGAGGAAATATTAATTATAATTAATATAATAAGTAGAGGTTTGAATAAGTCTTTATCAAAATTTAGAACAGGTTTATGCATTTTGTAAACAATTATGTTAAACAATACGCAAACGCAAATACGCAAAAAATAATTTTATTTTAATTCAATATGTTTATTGACTTCATTTTATAAAAACTTTTCTTTATTCGTTTTTCATTTCTTGTTAGTAAATTGACTATGTCTGTCATAATTGTGACATACCTATAATTTTAACAAAAAAATAATGATAAAATTTACATATACATATAGAAAAATTTAAAGTGCCGGTAGGTAAGTCAAAAAATGATTTTTTTGAAAAAGTGAATTATTTTATTTTTCTAATCCCATTCAATGTTTATAAAATTTTACAAATTTATAAAAGTTTATATCTATATAATTTTTATATAAATTTTAACTGATGCGACTGAGTATAAACAAATAGTAAATTGTTCGAAAATAAACCGAAAAACATGAACTTGATACTTTTATAAACATTGAAAGCTTGTTTAAGTGTATGATACTCTTATAATATATTATGACTTGTATTAAAATAAAATAATATAGAGATAAATAATTTAATTTTACTAAACATCAAATTAATTCATTTATAGAATATTTTTTATGTTGTTATACACATCAAGTACATAAAAAGCAAACCATTAATCAAATTACTGAACTGTATAACCATATTACATTTCCCATATAAACAATATATTGACATTTTAAACTGAGCAAACAGAATTTAGTTCAAAATAAAATGTTTTCGAGATTTTAACAAACTGATATTTATTTCGATGACATTTAGAGATATTTTAGTAATGAAATGAAGAGAAAATCAATTCTGGGCGGAATTTTTTACGTTTTACAAAAGGTATGCTTATAATTTTCATGTTTTAAAGAGAATTTTGTTTATCTTATCAAATGAATTTAAATAAACTAATAAATGGAATTTGATTACTAGAATTTTTCTTTTAAAAGAACTTTTTTACACCTATATATCTACAACTCATTCATAAATTGTTTAGATTTCGATATACAGGGTGGTCCGAACTGTATTCCGGAAACTTCGGCAACATATTCTGGAGATAAAAATAAGTAAAAAAGTTCGTATAATTGTATGTCCTAAAATGCTTAGTTTCGGAGATACAGGGTGTAGAAATTTCATTTTTATTTCGATTTTTTCTAAATAATTTCTGAAGTAACGTCCACATTTGGATGAAAATTGGAGTTTTTGGATATGAGAAATTTGATTTTGATGTCAATATGACTGCTACTAGTAGAGGGCGCCACCTACATATTTTTTAACTGGTTTGAAGAGTAATAACTTTTCGTCTGTATCTGTATAAAACTACTGAGTAAAAAAATATACATTTACGACGTTTTTCACGCGAAAAAGATCTCTTTGTAAAAATCGCTACGAGTAATAGTTTTCGAGATATTTGGAATAGAAATTATCAATACATGTCATCATTGACATAAATTAAACATGTTGACTAAACAGTTATTAGACTCAAATCATAAATTTGAAATGTTTTTGTGCCAAATGTTCAACAAAAACTGTTTTATCATCATTTTTTGCAGAAAAATTTATGATTAATTTAAAAAAAAAATTTCACAAATTTATTATTTCAGCGAAATAACTATCTACTCAACCTGTTTATTTTTCGTCAATAATGACATGTATGTACTACTTTCATTCTCAATATCTTAAGAACGGTTGATCGTAGCGATTTTTACAAATATTTTTTACGTAAAAAATCACAGAGATGTATATTTTTTCACTCGGTAGTTTTATAGAGGTACGGACAAAAAGTTATTATGCTTCAAAACAGTTAAAACACGCGTAGGTGGCGCCCTCTACTAGTAAGAGTTATATTAACACCAAAATCAAATTTCTCATGTCAAAAAACTCCCAGACACCAATTTTCATTCAAATATTGACGTTACTTCAGAAATTATTTAGAAAAAATCGAAATAAAAATAAAACTTCTACACCCTGTATCTCTGAAAGTAAGCATTTTAGGACATACCTTTTTACGAACTTTTTTACTTATTTATATCTGCAGAATACGCTGCCAAAGTTTCCGGAATACAGTTCGGGCCACCCTGTATAGTTTTTGTTTTATTATCTGTTTGATAACAGGGATAGATGTAACATTATTTTAGACTTAGATATTTAAAAATTTATATAGGAAATATAATATTGATCGAACGAAAATGGTTGAAATTGGAAAGTACTACCAACTAAATAAGTAAAATCATAATAACCAACTACTTCAATCATTTTGTATCGCATTAGTAGGTAATAAAATAATTTTAGCATAATTACAATAACGGTAAAAAGCATTTTTCATGTTTTTTTAGAGTTACTTAAAGTACAACAGAAGAATTACCTAAATACATTTTCGACATATAAAAGTGAACAATGGCAATGGTGAATGTATTATTATAAACGGAAAATCTACACATTCAATTTTATTTAACACTCACGTATGTAGAACAATGGGAATAATTTTTAACAAACACGTTATGTCAGGAAATGCACTTGACCATCCATGTTAAACCACTCACTCCGGTTGTTCGTTATAGCAATAATTTCCTTATATCTCTTCAGAACCTCACAAATCCTTAAGCAACATACACTGTTTATCACAAGGGTCAACAGAAATAAGTTTTTGTTTTTTGGGTGGTGAGGTAAACATTGTCCAAGTTCTATTTCAAAACATTTTTATTCAATAAAAGAAATAATATAATAAAAAAATTGCATTTTTCACATAATTTTGTTTAAGAATATGTTTCCATTAGGGATGTGCACAATATTGCCAATAATATCGATAGTGTTAAATGAGAAAATAAGAAGATGCGCAACCTTATGGGCGATTTCGTGGCACAAAACCTGTCCGAGATGTGGTTGGCGATACCTTCGCCGCTAGTCAACCTGTCCGAGATTTAGTTTAGCTCTGCGCCGCTGCGCGCTGATAGTTGTTTACAGCGCAGCGGATAAAGAATACTGTACCGTAGTTCTGCTCTTAGTTGACAGAGTGGGTGGTTGCTGAAGACAGTGTTGCCAGAGCTACGGATTAATTCGTAAATTTACTGATTTTGGGTATGGTACGTTAATAATACGGATTTTCTATCATTAAACAATTTAATATAATATTATATGATTAAACAAAAAACGGCATCAGAGTTGGCTTGGAAATAAAGATCGCTGTTATTTCATCTGTAAAATATTATGGTAAATGTCAATAGTGGTCATTTTCAAGCCAACTAAACGACCTATTTCGATCATACGAAATATTCAGTACGTATAAAAAAAAATATTTTTGTTGTTTATTCTATGTTTAACACGAATAAATTTTCAATACATAAACGCGGATTTTTCATCCAAAGATATTTTCGTCAAATGTATTACAGATATTACACATTTTAATATGGCAACACTGTCCCTTCCTGTTCCACACCGTCTTCGATATGCCTTTGCTAGTCAAATTAGAGAAAATGATTGTTATATGCGTTGGTCGCAGAACGAGTAGAGGCTGCACCGTACAGTACTTGAGACGTAAGAGAAAATCAAATCTGTCTTGTCACGAATTTACCCATTAGGTTCCGTGTCTTCCAAATTCTTTTAATCAACGTCGATATTTTATGGGTTTAGAGCATATTAATTTAGAAAAAAAATGGATACTCACAATAATAAAAACTTTGTACAGGGTGGGTCAAATTCGACGCTTTTAAAGGAAAACACCCTTTTCTATAGGAGATAGACGAAAACTAATATCGGCGTATAGAGCTCAATTTTTATTAAAAACATGATGGTGAAAACCGCACTTCGGTATCTGTTACCGTTTGGGAGTTTCGGGGTGCTTTTCAAAAATTTGCATTTTTAACAAATCACTCTAACTTTTTCGCTGTGGAAAATTTTGTATTTTTATGTAAACATTCCCAAAGCAGTTTTTTACGTCGAATTTAATGGTTTAAGTATAATTTTTTTATAATTAATAATGTAAGAGTTATCAACAGACAAATTGATTTTTTATTTGGGACACTCTGTATATTTTTAATTAACTGGAAAGAACAAAAAATGTAACACACTTAATATTTTGTTATAGCTCCCTTCGAAATACAGAATTTTTAAAAGTTCGCCACTTTTAACTAGTAGGCTTTGGAGTCCTTATTGATGATCTGCGCCTAATGGAACTCGAAAATATATTTTTCCAGCAAGACAAAACATCGCCTCAGAACGCTGAAGTTATCAACAATTTTTTGTAGCCAGTTTCGGGAATAATTGAATAGCTAACCAAGATCCCAGCCGTTGGCCGTCCAGGCCGCCGGACTTAGTGCCTATGGATTTGGATCTTTGCTGAAGAATAAAGGTTCTTATTTTTAAATTGTATGATTCTCTGTATACTCTAGACAAGAAAATAAAGTACTTAGCGGTTATGTGAAGGTATCTTTCACCGCTACTAAGTTAATGAATTCCGCAAGAAATGTTCAAAAACGGTCCCATCTGTCCATAACACAGGACGGTCGATATGTCGAACACCTGTAGCAAAATCTCATGTCTTGGTCTGCTATTTATTTTTATTGTTATTAGATATAGTTTAAATGTGTTGATGTTTTTAAATATATGCTGCTATATTTTCGGAAAGGTAATTTTTAATTATTTTCAATGAATTAGAAATATACAGGGTGTCCCATATAAAAAATCAAATTTTCTGTTAATAATTCTTAAATTACTAATTAAAAAAAAATACATTTAATCCATTAAATTCTACGTGAAAAAGTGCTTTGGGATTGTTTTCGTAAAAATACAAAATTGTCCATAGCAAAAAAGTTACAGCGATTTGTTAGAAATGCACATTTTTGAAAAACACCCCGTAATTCCGAAACGGTAACAGATATCGATGTGCGGTTTTCACCATCATGTTTTTTGATAAAAATTGGGATCCAGACACCACACATATTAGTTTTCGTCTATCTCCTATAAAAAAGGGCGTTTTCCTTTAAAAACGTCTAATTTGACCCACCCTGTACCAGTTTAAAATAATTAATAATATTATATAAACAAATAATATTTCCCAAAAAACAGAAACTTGCAATAAAAAGATCACAAAACTTTATCAGACAGCACAAACCTCAGAAAAAAATAACTGTTGTGAGAGCTTTTGATTTTCTCAAAATAGAATCGGACAATGATTACCTCTGTTTTCAAACTATCGAATCTTCACATCGAAACTAGGGACTCACGATGATTAATATCCGATGAAATATTTATACAACGAACGTCACACGTACCTAGTTGAAGAGACAACAGATCAGCGTAAGGCAGTACAGTGCGTAAGCTAGGAATGGACGTGATTGGGTACTGCTCATGCCCTGGCTCTGGTTTGAACCGTAGACCGCCGGTTGGGCGGAAGGTTCAATCAAATTCTCCATGTCTGAAAAAAGAAACAGAAACTATAACAGGTTTGCAGACGACTAAACATACAATTTTTTAATTGTTTATATTACTAGCGTTTCAAGTAGCATTTTTGGACACATTTTAGGTAATTTTTCTAATAATTTTGTCTGTTTCTTGACACAAAAAGGAAACAGTATACCACAAATAGGAAACATTTTCGAAACCTGTATAATACATATAGCTTTATTACATATGTTTTTAATGTGGTGGCACTAGCCGTTTCCTGAAATGTTTCGATGCGGAATCAAAACTTTTAGAGGAAATGTTTCGAAACATTTTCGGCAATTTTTGTCGAAGATGTTCCCGTTTTCAGCAGCCACTGTTTCTGAATGTAAAGAAACAAAATATTAAACTAAAATAGTCTATGTCTGTGTGTGGATTTCAAAATGAAAACAACCATCAACAATATCTTCCTCCGCCATAATTTTTTTGTCTTAAGATCTTTGTTATAGGTTCTCGCCCAAAAAAATGTTTGGCAAAAGCAAACTGATTGTTTAATTTAATAACGTACTTTCATATTTTTAATGCCCCTTTTATAAATCTTTATTTGTTGCTACAAAATATTTTTTCTACAAACGTCAGTAATAATGTAATTTTGAACGCATGCTGTCAGTGCCTAAAATGTGACATTATGGCACTGATGGTAAAAGTCATTTACTTTTAACACCGCGCACCGGTGCTAAAGTAAGTCACGTGATATACTTTTAACACTGATTGACATTAGTTGACAACAAATGATCGAATGTTTGGAATCTTTCAATTACCCTAGCAACCCAAAACTTCATAATTAATTTGATTTCACAATGACATATTATGAATTATTCATTAACGTAATAATACCTTGATATATACGAGCATAAACTTGTTTGTAGAAAAAATAGTGTATGATATGTGTGCTAAAAGTGATTTTATTTTGTTCGATGAAGCTTCCCTTCTCACAAAATAAAATACCATTTTTAGCACTTATATCATAAATAACTATTTTAGTTTGAATATCGATTTTTATTTATATTTCTATATCATGGTAATAAATTAATGTAAGTAGAACCCGTTCTTATAAGTTTAAAAGCTCAACAACCGATAAAACACATATTTTTAGTTAAAAACGCTATCACTAGGCAACATGGCGCAATGTTAATTCATTATTTTATAAAATTGGCATGGAGTCGGACACATATCATCTACATCATATCATATTGGTGTTTAAAAAAAGAGAAACTCGTGTTTCGAAAATGACTCGACAATAAATGGAAACCTATGTTTCCAAAATATTTCGATTTAGCGCTATCTGTGTAGAAATTATGACCTAGTCACCTTTCTACAACGCCAATCAAAATTTCTGATGAAAATAATTAAAATATTTTTACTTATTGTAACACAATTAAAACATAAAAATTTGTGTTTTCCATTGTAGAAAAAATGAGAAAAAACGTTTGCTGGTAACATTTTTCTTCGGTCTCCTGTTGGGTATGGGTAGTGGCTGTTATTACATTTTGTATGCTTAAAACAAATTATCTTATACCGTATGATCGAGAAAAAACGGCGTCCAGTTGGCTGGGAAATGAAGATCGCTGTCACTTTATATGTAAATTTATATGGGAAATGTCATCGATCGTCATTTCCCAGCCAACTGGACGCCATTTTTTTTCGATCATACGGTATATATTATACGTATAATAAATTATTATAATATCGCATAAGAAAAATATCCATATTTGTACTCACTATTTGTCCTTCCTTCTGTTTTTTAATTATACTATAAAAGCTTGAACAATGCTTAAATTAAAGGCTTAAATGCAAAAACTGCAGAACAAGATCCAAACAATAAAGTAAGGTTATGTCCTCATATTTGACAGAATATCAAATAAATTGTGGAAACTTTTCAGACACAAAACGGGTACGAAATTTTTGTAAATGTGAGCCACATCTGTTTCTTAAATCTTTATTGTTATAGCTTATGTAGCGAAACCATTGTTTAGAAAACTCTTAATATATATTTAATTTATTTTGTCTTTTCTAAATTTATCTTTCTAATTTAAATTCAATATTCATTTATTCTCTTATTCGAGAGATCGATTGACAACGTCCTAACCGCCGCGCCGCCGCAGATAGCTTTTATTTTAATTCTTCAAGAGTTCATACCAATTCGGTGCCGTTTACTCGTGCGAGTAGTGTTCCTAATGCAGATACAGGCTAGTCACCCAGGAAGACTACAACCCTCCAAGATAAGCTGACCTCGTACCACGTGTTTTCATTTTAGCAGAAACTTGTATTTTATCGAGTATATTAAAACATTCAATCATTTCTTTATTCCTTTTCAAAACAACCATATTTTGGTAAAATGTTTCTAAACAAAAAGCGATTTATGTTAAGAAACATACGTATCAAAGATATGTCGAATTAATTCCAGAACTTTTGTGTCTTGACAAAAACACCTTCATTGTGTTGAAACTGTTTCACAATGTTTCTCAGCAGAGATTTTGTTTCGATTTTGTGTCTACAAATGCTACTTGAGTTACCACAAATATTCGTTATTATCTTTGTCTTTGTTTTACATACCATTAGGGCGTGTTGTAAAGTGAAATATAGGTGATGCCTTGTTCCATCCATAATCATTCTTTGCTTGGACCCTGGCCTCATAGGTTGTTGCTGGTAAGAGGTTGATCAGAGTGTAGTTCATAGTTTGCTTTGTCACTCCTGGATAGGGAGGAATCATTCCAGAGAAATGACGATTTGAAAATCCAGGGCCATTTATTGTCTGTAAAGAAACAACATATTTTCATTATAATTGGTTCTAGCAGAGAGGTAAATTGACGAATTGTGTACCAAATTCATTTAGCAAAAACTTACCACAAGACTCCAGTCATTTCTGAATCCAACAATCTTGGTGCCATTAATTCTTGGACTCTTGTACTCGTTGGTCTCTTCCTGTCTGTGTTGGTGGTGATGTCTGGGCTGTTGTCTGTAGTATAGTCGGTATTCAATGATAGAGGAATGACTGTTGACGGTCCAGGAAATTGTGAACTTGTCCCTTTCTGTGCCTTTTGGTGGTGATTCTATCACTGCCGTTGTTGCTGTTCCTGTGAGTATCACGTGACCTCGTGCTTTGCCGTGTACATTTGATGCAACACAACTGAAACAAATTATTTAAATATAAATGAGGAATATAACTTTTGAATACGGTGATTTGCATAAAAATGTTCTTTAAATGTATGTAATAAACCGAAACCTTGTGTAAATTTCAAAATTAAAGACAATATAAGACCAAAAAGTTATTTTATTTCATAATACGTCGTTGTGAACCATTTTCAAATAGTTTTATTGCTATTAGTTCTCATAATAATAGCGATTAGTAAAAGTTAATAAAATTATATAAACCCAAATATTCAATATTCAAAATTATTTTGATATTCAATTACTTATGTAGAAAATGCTAATAATAGACGAGGAAGTTATGATAAAATATCTGGTATCTACTAAGTAATTTAATAGTGTATACAGGGTCATTCACCAGCCATGATTTATTATGGAAAACCCTGTTATCTTTTTAAAAATTTAGATCAAAAATCGACAACTATGAAACTATGTACCCCGACACAAAGGGTACATTGTGAGACAGGAAGTTGTAGATAGAAACAAGGCCCTATAACATAGGATACCACATTTTAATGAACAGTTCTTTCCATAAAATCAACAAAATGAAAAATATACGAAATAATATATATGTACTGATTTCTTTCGAAAATAGACAACTATGAAACTATGAACCCTTCCCGGACACAAACGGTATATTGTGAGACAAGAAATTGTAGAGAAAAACAAGCCCTATAACATAGGATACAACATTTTAATGAACAATACTTTCCATAAAATCAATAAAATGAAAAATATACGAAATTTTCTTTCGTATATTCGACAATCGACAACTATGAAACTATGAACCCTTCCCGGACACAAGCGGTACATTGTGAAACAGGAAATTGTAGAGAGAAACAAGCCCTATAACATAGGATACATTTTAATGAACAGTGCTTTCCATAAAATCAATAAAATTAAAAATATACGAAATAATATACATGTACTGATTTCTTTCGAAAATCGACAACTATAAAACTATTAACCCTTCCCGGACACAAACGGTACATTGTGAGACAGGAAATTGTAGAGAGAAACAAGCCATAAAATCAATAAAATGAAAAATATACGAAATAATATACATGTACTTTTGATTAAAGATACCTGCTCCATCTGTCTAAATTATTTTCAAAGTTACAATTTTGCCGCTTCATAGTGGCAGCGTCTTTCAAGATTCATGCATATTTTTATCGATAGGTTTGTAGCTTCTGAATAACGGTCTAGGTAAAATACCTAGCTCATTTTCTAGCTCAGAATTAGAATTATTAGAGTTAAGCAACTCGCATTTTCATTGGAGAATATCGTCATATTTATTTCAAACCAATAATCAACGACAATATTCGTATAATTTAACAAAATTACTGTAAACCACTATAATTTATAAATACTTGGTTAGCTTCAAAATTTTTTGGTTGGAAATTGTTGGTTAGGTTCAAAATTTTTTCTCTTCTTAAATAAATTTAAGCGTTAACGTTATTAAGCATTTGTATAAAAGTGTGTATTTTGGGTGGTACTCCACAAAATTTGCAGGCTATTGAGGAAACAGAAAATGTACAGATAACAGAAATAAATTAAAAATAATATTTATCAGAGATATTCTAGTTTAAGTTGCCTTTGTATTTATATTAAAACAGCATTATATGTCACTTCTTCAAACATGTCCTTTAAATCCTCTAATTTAATAGCTGTTAGTAAGAAGTTCCACTTCAAATACTTAGGTTGCTCTGGAGTTCCTTAAATATCTTCATATCTACACAGGGGTTTATTAGAAAACATCTGTACTTTTTATTGCGCAGTAAAAACAATAATACATAAACTCAAGTCCTGTTGATTAATTTAATAAGCATTAACAGAGTAATATTTGAATTTACGATTGTAGTATCACATTAACAATGCAAATGTATTGGATTTAGATTTACAATGCATGGCGTATTTGATCAAATATCAAAGCCACTATGGATTCAATTGTTTGGATTAAGTAAAGGTTTGAGATTAAATAGAATTTTAAATGACTCATTATCAGGTCCATTCGTGAAATATAATTGAATTTAATAAACCAAATTCTAATTATTGGCTGTAAATATGATTATCTCTGAGTGTGGTGATTTCTGTTTTAATATGTATTAACAAAGTCAAAGTACAAATTTACAAAGTATTAGAATGAAACTCTTATACTGGGTAAGTTTTCTACGATGTTCTCTATTGGTATCTCGGAAACTACTGGAGTTAGAGAGTCGATAAAATAGGGAAAGAATTGCAGTTTTGTGAGGGCTAATATATGCGCTTTTCGGATTTTTGAAAAAGTTTGTGACTTACTAGATATTTAAAAAAACAAATTTCGGCTAAAAATGCTCCCTGATTTAATTATAATCTATTTTAGACAAAACGTTTTCAGATAAACGTTGTAGAAAATTACATGTTTAATAAGATTGTGTTTTCCGATTTTTTTTCCAAAGCCTATAATTTTTGACATATAACACAAAAGTATGTTTTCTAAAATATGTTTTGAAGTGAAACTTCTTTGCGCACGTTGGGAGTAAAAATTCAAGGTCGTGACACACGAGCTAGCATTAGGAAAAGTGGTTAACGGCAGTGTTGCCACAATTACCCCATTTGGGTTATATCTACTCCTATGATCCGTTAATAAAATCACTATAATAAACTTGAGACTGTACGTGTGTACCAATATCCTCTAGTTGTGTACAAGGAAGTTAATTTTTATGCATATTTTTATCAATAGGTCTGTAGCTTCTGAATAACGGTCTAGGTAAATCATCTAGCTCATTTGACACATCAGAATTAGTATTATTAGAGTTAGTAACTTGCATTTTCATTGGAGGACCACGTCATATTTATTTCAAACCAATAATCAACGAGAACATTCGTATAATTTAATAAAATTACTGTAAATCACTATAAATAATGAATTGTTTGTAATTGAACTGTAATTTTTGTATTTTAAATCCGGTAAATAATAGAGATAAACAATTGTGATTGATTAAAATATAATTTTAAGATAAAACTTCGTTAACAACATTCTGAGAATTCGAATAATGAATTGAATTATGACAAGGCAAGTGACATCTTTCTAAAAAAACAGCGTAGTAATCAGAGAGTATATATGTAGTAGTATTTTTTGTAATAGCCACAGCTGGGCTATCCGACCGGATAATAGAATTATAGTTTTTAATAAAAATTAAAAAAAGCATTATAAAAAAGCTAGAATAATATACAGTTTTATATTAACTCTATTTTTTTGAAGTATAAAATGAAAAATATATATCCTTCAAATCTTTCAATTTAATAGCTGTTAGTAAGACGTTTCCCTTCAAATTTGCGCACATAGTGCACACATAATTTTTTTGAAGTAAAGAAGTGCGTTTTCTACACCATATTACAAAGAAACTCTTATAATTAATAATGAAGACAATTTTTTAATTATTTAAGTACGAAAAAGTTAAAAAGTCCATGAAACTTTTTTTAATTACTTTCAAGAACCTCGATTCTTCGAAGTATTTCAAATTTCCTGTCTTTAACACGTTTGAAAAAAAAAGACGAAAGTAGACTAGTAGAACGAAACAAAGACAAACTTGAGAAGACTCGTCCTGTGGCTGAATTTTCATTATGCCTCGATTTTTAGGTTAACCATCAGCGGGGGAGATGGGCTACGACAGCGACATTTTTCTTAACTTTTAATAAAGATGAAAAATCCCCGGGAAACGTATATCTAAATTATGTTTTCATTTTTCGACGCCTTTCTATAGGTTAAATTTTCAGTCCGGGATCCGCGTCGCTCTGCATATTTTTGCGATAAAAAATGATCGTCTTCCTTTTACAACTTCTCCCTTTTAAAAGTATTATGCTTTTTAATATCTTAAGTATCAAAAAAAGCTTGTTAGAATTTCTTTTGTTTTTTTTGGTGTTTGAGCAGCGAAATTCAACAGGAACTTTTTCTATACAGTATGTCCCCGGATTGCCTTTTCAAGAGGAATATTTTTTATCATTGACATTTTGAGAAAAATGCATTCTTTTGCTTGTTCTAGAATGGGTAATCCCATTTTTCAAATTTCCATACCGTTTTAAGAAAAATTTAAAAAAATATGGCTGATTTTTTTCAAATGTCGCGTTTCTATGGAAATGTAATTTGATTTTCATTGTTTCTTAGATTTTTATTAATAAAATTTTAATTAACGTCATATTTTTTGATGTTTTAAAATGTTAAGAAGGGCAAAATTTCTTTAATTCAATACTACTAGTCTAAGAGCTAGCACGTTTTCGACAAAGTATTTTAAGACGTCTGGCTCTTTGATACATCTTTTACTATGCTCTCTGAAACAGCATGCGGCCCGTCTGGCTGCCGATACCCGTTGCGTTCACGACTGCGCATCCGAAGAAGATCCCATATTTTTTTTATTAATTATCTCCTATAAATTCTAGTATTGAATATAAATCGAACACGTCTCCATAGCGCAGTGCGTACAGTTTCCGACCACGAACCGATGATTCAGAGTTCGAATCCGGGTCAGATCAAAGACTTTTTTATTTTATTTCGTTTATATTCTGATAGTTAATTATTAAATCATTCTGGTAATTAAAAAAAACAAATATTTAATACTTTACTATCAGAATATAATCGAAAATAAAATAAAAAAGTCTTTGCCCTGACCCAGATTCGAACTCCGAATCATCGGTTCGTGGTCGGAAACTGTACACACTGCGCTATGGAGACATGTTCGATTTATAATCGATACTAGAATTTAAATGACTAATAAAAATATAGGATCTTCTTTCAATACGCAGTAGGAAACGCAACGTTTACCGTCAGCCAAATGGGCCGCATGCTGTTCTAGAGATCATAGTAAAAGATCTATCAAAGAGCCAGACGTCTTAAAATACTTGTTTTTCCGATGTTGCTAGCTCTCGTACTATAAATGCTCTTTAAATCTAGTTAATATTGATCTTCTAGTTTGCCCAACATATTTTTGATTACAATCTTTA